CTTGACTGAGCCATTGGAGACTTTCCTGTTGCCTGGCTGCCTGTGTCCCCTCTTGTGTATGCCACCTGCGCCATCTCACCCGGGGGCCTCCAAAGTTGACAAAAGGATGCAATTCAGTGGAGGGAAAGATCGGGCCATACCATGCCCTCCCTGGGACTGGCCGTGAAGTCGGGTCATCAATTGGGGCCAAGCATGCAGTGACTGGCGGTAGCACAGAATGCGGTAATTGGAATGCAACAACAGCCTCCTCTGAAATGTGCACACGTACGTATTCACGCAGTGGGTCCAGGGCAAGGGGAACGATCACAACAAGACGGCGCGATGCGACGGTGCCTTCCGTGTCAAACAAGCTGAAGCGGCTGCCTCGGCCAAAGCGCCCCAATGTGGGTAGTACATGTCTGGTTGCCCAATCAGCAACAGTTGGCAAGTCCCACTGTACGCCGGAAATGGCGCCAACTGCACTAACACCTGGCCCAACCACAACGAAATGGAATGAATTGTCGGCGGGACTGAGGCCAAGCAGCTCGGATCTAGCAGTGATGGCTTCATTCCACACGTGTCTGGCAATCTGCGCATCAAGTTCAAGGCTCGTGGTGGTCTCAAAGAATGCAGCCGCCGGTATTTGTAGGGGAAGCAGTAGTGCCCCAAGGCCTTCGATTCGTTGCACGAAGTAGTCGTTAGGCCTTATGTCAGGCGCCTGCGGGACAAGTGAAACCCCTACGTAGTCACCATGCTCGAGTCTGGCTCCTGGCTCCCACCGTCGTCCATTAACGTACAGTCCCTTAGCCCCGGGGTATGTCGCAAGCAGTGCCTCAGAGCTTTGGTCGACTGGGATGCTCACAAAGGAGAGCGTGCCCTGAGGCCGAAAGTCAACCCAAACTGAAATCTGCCGTGGGGGCTCAGCTGGCATGGGTGTATCCTCAGCAAAAAGCAAAATTTCTCGATGCGAGACACGGTTGGGTGGTTGACACGGTGTCATCCTCACTGTATGCTGTCCGTGCGTGGCTCCCTGGCCTAAGGCAATTGCCCAGACCTTCGCAATGAGTACCTCAGCTGGCGGGTTTCCCTCAAATTCCGCAGTGAAAACCCCACGTCCTACAACCCCAAGCCTAACAAGCAGGTTGTTCCGTGGAGGCAACTGCTCAACAAAGTGTGGGTCGAAGTGGTTGTCGTAGTTGGGGCAGGACAGCGGGGTAAGACAAGGCCCTCCTGTGCAATTGTGCCGCCGACCCTCAGCTGGGCCGCTGCTGTGGTACGGAGCATGGACTGCAATAGCCCGGGAAACTGCCCAGCTGTGTCGATAGTGTCTGTGACCAGGCAAACCTCGCTGGACTCAGGTACAAGCAGAGCCCCTTGTCTGGCAGTCGTGATGCAGAAGTCAGCTGGCGGTTGCGCTAAACCCCAATCGCTCAGTTTTTGCCGTGCTGTCTCACACATCGCATCGGCTGATTGCGGGGTATTCAGCAAGGTATGCAAGATGGCGATATTGCGGATATCTGGGCCAAAAATCCGGCGAAAATCTGCCATAAAGCAACAATGGGGCCCACTGACCCCTCGTGCCTCGCTCGGGGACACAATGCAATGTAGGTCCACGTCTCTGACGATAGGTTGGCGCCAAAGGAAGTGTGTACGCCAGCCCTTGATGCCAGTGCGCTCCGCCATACGCCGCGCCGCATGTGCCGCTAGCTCTTCTGGTGTAAGGAGCTTAGAGACAGTGACGATCCATGGGTGGTGTCCTGCAGAGTGGAAGGCAACGGTCATCTCACCTGCATGCTCTTCGGGGTCCCTGCTCACACACTCAAAAGCGCAGTCATTTGCGTCTGTCTCGCTCGAGGTCTCTGAGTGCCAACATGTGGTCGAGAGAGTCGACTGTTCTGAGGGCTCCCTGAAGGGGGCACGCGTGCAAAGAATTGCGGGCTCGAGCGTCAGGACCCCTGGACGGAAGGGATCCGTAACATCAACCCCCGGTGGTGCAAAATTCCATCTTCGCCGTGCTACATCATGTGACAGAGCATGTGGAGTTCTGCAAAATTGCACAGTACGCAGGGCAGCCTCAAATGCGGAGGCGTCCTCCTGGATGCCTAGTGTACACACCTCAAAGCCTGCAGGTCGCAAATCTACAGGCACAGTGCGCCAGCCGGGCGGCAAGTTTGCCCCGTGCAAAACGAGCTGCACAACTGGAAAGTTGGGGAGTGGCCTCTGTAGAACACAGACCTCAACAATCGGCTGCACGAGGGTGTGAGCAATCGCATCCTGAACAACTTCCCGAATGCCCCAAGTACCTTCACGTTTTCGCCATCTGACATTGTCGTGCGTGTCGAAAAAGACATATTGTTCCTGGTCCTGATGTGACTGGAGGAATGTCTCAATGTCAGCTTCTGGCACAGGTAGCCAGACCACAACTGTGGCTGCCCGAGCGGCACTAGATGTTGAACCTGCCACTTGCTGGGCCCCCTGTGCACTGAGGAAAAGCAACTGCACCTCTGCTTCTCTTACGGGCCATTCGTCCTGCCGTCCCACAGCGTCTTCTGCACTAAGGGAAGCTGGGCGGCCGATTCCTTCATTTTCATTGTTGGAGCTTGGGCTCTGCTCGATTGTTTGGGGCCATGGAGGCGAGCCATGGTCCCGCCGAGTCCATGGATCCGGACTCGGCCACACAGTGCGAATGCCAGGGTGGCGAGGCTGTTGCCAATGCTTGGCAGCATGTAGCTCGTTCGGACTACAAACCCCAACCCCAAAGCAAAACGACCCCTTAGGCCCCTCCGGAACGCTATGTACACTGTACAACTTGCGCGTCTTACTCCAGGCAGCGCTATGTCTGTACAGCGCTTGGCGTGCTTTGTACACTGTACATATTTCCGGCTGTCCATCAAAGAAGTGTACTCTCCTTCCTTCGATGCTGGGCTCAGTTCCCAAACGCAGACAGGAACAGTCTCGACGTGCAGGGGCTGCTACAGTGGCGAATTGTCCATGCGCCAACTGGAGTCTCCCTCCACGGAGTCTTGTTCATGGCTGGGAGCTTCTCCTGTCTCATGCAAGCGAGGGTCTGCGAGCGCAAAAGGATTCTCCACGACGCAATCCGGAACTCTCACCTCATATTGCATACACAGTCCGTTGACCTGTGCCATCCATCGGCTGACATAGTCCGGCTCCTGTTGCACCGAATGTGGCGCAAACACGAGGTTGATATGCTCTACGCCTTTTCCAAAATGGCAAGGCGGAGCTGTAGGCCCAACAAGGTCCCGCAGGCACGATGTTGGGCTTAGGCAGGGGGCGAGGATGACTGTGAGCCAGCCTCTGCCTCTTTGCTTTTTCTGCGAGGAGTCCGCTCTCTGGCATTGGCATCGAGCTCTTCCTTCGCGCCGTCCTTGACTTTCCGGAGGACTGAAATGAGCGCCTCCTCCTTTTGGACAGCACTCTCCTTTGCCTCCGCTTTGCGAGCATCCGCCTCGGCTATAGCAGAAACTTCCATCTCTGCGTCCTCCGCGTCCACATCCACAACGGTGCCCTTGGCCTCCTCGTCGCCAGACGCTTTGGACTCCGCCGCGAGTGACCTGGTGGCCTGCACCATCTGCTGTTGCCACTTCTCCTCCGCCGCTGCGAAAGCTGTCATCGTCTCCGTCTTGGTGGCCAGCTGCTGCTCGAGAAGGTCGCCCAAGCTTTCGACATAGCTGTACCATTCTCCCAAGAAGGCATCTCGCGACCGTCGCACCTTGCTCAGCTCTTGTTTTGCTTGCGACTGTAGCGCAACGAGGCGGTGCAGTGACTTGGCTGCCGCCTTGTGCGAAGTGTTGAGATGTACATCCACGAGCGACCGCACCGTCTCCGGAAGCTCTTCCCTGCTGCTGGAGAGCGCTGCCAGCAGCTCTGAATACGCTGGCGGAGCCTCGTTGTTTCCGGCCTGGTTCGTCGCCGTCGGAACCGCCGGAAGTGCCGCTGTAGGTGGTGTTGGGAGATCCTTCAAAGCAGGGGCCCCTGCTGTCTGCTCTGTCTTCCCTTGGCCTGCTCCCTTGTGCTGGCCTTTGCCACCTTTGCCCTTGTGGGCACCTTTCTCTGCTGTTTCTGGCTCCTTGCGGCGCCGTGGCGATTGCCTTCTCCTCGGCGACCAAGTGCTCCTTGTCTGTTTTTGCGACGGCAGCTCCTGCAATCCCAAGCCATCTTCAGGGTTGGGAGTCCAGATTTTGAGTGATGTCGCGCCAGCAAGTTCCGAGCCGTCGCCAACTTGGCCGGTGAAAAAGTCGCCCAGCCTGAGCCTGCCGCACGCAGCAGTGTCCGCGCTCTTGTTCTTGCCTTCCGGAGTCTCCGGCGCCACGCTGGCTCCGCAACTCGCTTCGTTGTCGCAGCCCAGAATGGCCACGTAGAGGTAGAATGTGACCAAGCGTCCACACCCTCTCATGCACTGAAACAGAAAAATGGGACGGCGGCAAATCCGCAGCGTACCAGTTGTCCTCCAGTGAAATTCCAGCCAGAAATAGCAAAAAGGGGATTAGTTGCCAGCGAGTCCCAACCAGTGAAATCTCGGGCACTTCAGGTGTCTTCCTCGCGAGGCGTACAGAAGAACCTGGAAAAATGAAGCCAGCGATTGGTAAAACCAAACGGGCAGTGCCTGACAGCCTCCTCGAAGACGTACAGAGGGCCAGGGTGGTTGCGGGCTTAAAAGCCGCGCGTGGGTTAGCTGCCAGAGCGGGAGTGGACCACTAAGGGAAACTACACTACCCAGCTCGAACAGAAACGCCTAGGTTTAGGGTTTAGGGTTTAGGGTTGAGGGTTTAGGGTTTAGGGTCAGGGCAGGGTTTAGGGAAGTACAGTCTGGCTGGGATCCAGGATGGTTTATCATGCTAGACTCAGGTAGTCATAAGTCGCGCACGGATTGTGGTAGTTCAACGCCCTCAACCCTAAACCCTAAACCCTAAACCCTAAACCCTAAACCCCAAACCCTAAACCCTAAACCCTAAACCCTAAACCCTAAACCCTAAACCCTAGCAGTTCATGTCTTGCAGGCCCTGAGGCCGCGGAAGCCGAGCACATCGTTGCCTTGGAGGACCGGTGGTTGGAGAAGATCTCCTGCTCTGGGAGCATTCGGGTTTAGGGTTTCGGGTTTAGGGTTTGGGGGTTAGGGTTTGGGGTTTAGGGTTTGGGTTTGGGGTTTAGCGTTTGGGGTTTGGGGTTTAGGGTTTAGGGTTTGGGGTTTAGGGCTTGGACCCCAAGCTGTCAAGCCATTGAAGATTGGAGTTTCGGCAAGGGCGGTTTCGGGTTTACACTGTAGAGTCCGCACCCAGCTTGCAAGCCTGCCTGAAAACCTTGAGGCCAGCCGTGGGCTTCAAAGATCTGCCCAGCACAGGTTTGGGGTATACATGGTTAAACCGTAAACCCTAAACCCTAAACCCGAAGCCCTAAACCCCAAACCCCAAACCCTAAACCCTAAACCCTAAACCTAAACCCTAAACCCTGAACCCTAAACCCTAAACCCTAAACCCTAAACCCTAAACCCTAAACCCTAAACCCTAAACCCTAAACCCTAAACCCTAAACCCTACCCCTAAGTGCTAAACCCTGGGAGCTTAAACCCTCCTGGCAAGGCTGGGGTTGATCCGACGTCGCAAGGCACGCTGTCAGCTGAGAGGGTTGGTGATTCTTGGAAGGAATCGTCCCTCTTGGTGGTGGGAATGAGAATTCCCAACACGGGGAAACAGAAAAAGGTAGAAAGCGAGAAAGAGAGAAAGAGAGAAAGAGAGAAAGAGAGAAAGAGAGAAAGAGAGAAAGAGAGAAAGAGAGAAAGAGAGAAAGAGAGAAAGAGAGAAAGAGAGAAAGAGAGAAAGAGAGAAAGCGAGAAAGAGAGAAAGAGAGAAAGAGAGAAAGAGAATCACACCAGATTATGGCCAAAATGCGTAAAGCCTTCAACTCCAGAAACGGATCTGGGAAGCTCTATTAATACAGTCCCTTTCGGGGTCCTCATCATAAGGCGGCCCTTAATGTTTAGGGTGCCCAAAAAGGGACATGAATTACACAACACCCCATCTAGGGTTTCTCGCAGAGAGCCAGGAAGAAGAAAAGAGTCGATTGCCGCGGAGATTGAAGGCCGAAATCGTTTGTGGCACCTAAACCCTCAACCCTGAACCTAGACCCTAACCCTAAACCCTAAACCCTAAACCCTAAACCCTAAACCCTAAACCCTCGCTTTGCAGATCCTGGGTCTCCCGAAGCGGTCGAATTCCGTGGGGTATTGGATTTCCCAAGGCAATGCATGGTGCGCGGTTTAGGGTTTAGGGTTTGGGGTTTGGGTTTAGGGTTTAGGGTTTAGGGTTTAGGGTTTAGGGTTTAGGGTTTAGGGTATAGGGTTTAGGGTTTAGGGTTTAGGGTTTAGAGTTTCTTTGGCCTTCAGAGCCAGTTACTGGGCTTGATGTTGAGGGCCTGAACCTGAACTACGTATCGTACTATGGGTAGATAGTGATTTTTATTGGCTTCCCTACTATGGGATCTTACTTCAAGTACCTGAACGACCTGACATCCACACCCCTGAGGCTCCAATGCCTTCAAACCAAGCGTGCGCACCGGGTTTAGGGTTTAGGGTTTAGCGTGCGCACAGGACCAGTGCCCACACGAATGAAGCTGATTGGCAACAGCTTGTCTGTCTACTGGCAGGCCGGCACATTTTTTGTCACAGGTTCCACTATTCGGTTTAAAGACCAAGAAGATCATGTCCAGGACTTGTTTTCAGAAAGTTGCCCTACACCCTACTTCCTAAAGAAGGACCATGCTTGTATCGACACACCTAGACCCCAAAATTTGTGGCTGATTTCGGACTGACACCCGTACACAGCTGAACCCTGAACCCTGAACCCTGAACCCTGAACCCTAAACCCTAAACCCTAAACCCTAAAGGGTGAGTTCTCAACATCATGGTTCCTTTTGTGGGGTACCCCAAATGAAGAGGGGGCGGCCGCCTTCGAATAAGGAGCCCCAAAAGGGACCTTATTTCCCTAAACCCTAAACCCTCTTCAAACCCTAAACCAAGTGACTATATGAAATATGGAGTATGGTATGTTTGTGGTTTTGTTGATTGTGCATACAACCTCGCAAGCTATCCTCTGAAATGCCACGCAACACCTTCAACCCTAAATCCTAAACCCTAAACCCTAATCGTAACGGCCAACTGCAGTCTAATCGGCCAACTAGTGGCCTTTCTATGGGTATCTCGGGCCATCTGCTGCGCAGGGTTAGCCTGGTGAGAAACACACGTCATTATTTGGGTGTGCTGCCCATGACCGCGCTCCTGTCGTGTTGTGGAGCACAGGGTTTCCTCCTAATCATGGTTTTGCCTGTGCCCAGTGTCCGTTTCGGACAGTAAGTAACCCAAAACCCTAAAACCTAAACCCTGAACCCCAACCCTAAACCCTAACCCTAAACTGCCCTAAACCCTAAACTTTTGGGATGCCAAAGGCCCGGAAGCCCCTGCAAACGGACCGCGAGAGATCGGATCCGGCTTTATGAGAGACAGGCGCGCGGCCTGGCAGCCTTGGCACCCTGGCGGTTTAGAGTTTAGGGTTTAGGTTCCAGGGTTTCGCCTCCAAGCCCGAACCCCTAAACCCTAAACCCCTAACCCCTAAACCCCTAAACCCCTAAACCCTAAACCCTAAACCCTCAACCCTCAACCCTCAACCCTAAACCCAAACCCCCAAGGGGGGAATTGAAAGCTGATTCAGGCTTCATGTTCGGGAATAGAGGGCACTGGGACTTCAGATGAGGGGGGCCTGGTCACTTCAAGGTCCTAGGGTTTAGGGTTTAGGGTTTAGAGCTTAGGGTTTAGGGTTTAGGGTTTAGGGTTTAAGGTTTAGGGTTTAGGGTTTAGGGTTTAGGGTTTAGGGTATAGGGTTTAGGATGATCCCGTTCTAGGCTTTGGTTTAGGGTGTAGGGTCTTGGGTTTAGGGTTGGGGCTTAGGGGGGCTTGTGGTAACATTCGGATATGGGGAGTTACATGTCAGGCGTGGGGGGGAGTGGGGGGGGCCCGAAAGCCTAAACACACATCTGTCACGCCTCTCTATCCAATCTCAGTTTTGCGACCCAGCCGTTTACCGTGCTTTGCTGCTCTGCCCTTGCAAATGGTTCCACAACTCAAAAACACCAAGCCACCCCCCCCCCCCCCCAGCTCCACCCCATCAGCTTTACCCTGAACCCTAAACCCCTAAACCCTAAAGCTGCATTGGGAGACCTAGGTTGGTGCCACTTTTTCGACAACCAGCGGGCGCAACTCTGCACAAACCTCAACTTTTTCTGCTGTCATGCAGCAGAGAGTCATAGGGGTTCCCAAGGCTTCGGGCTTAAGTGTGTATTTTGTTTCAACTATTTTGTTGTTTTCACTATCTCGATATGTATATATATATACACATATGTATGTGTTTTTCTATTCTTTGAACTTTTTTGGGGGGGCAGCGGGGGGGGGGGGGGGAAGGGAAGAGGGTTTCTTGTCGTAAGGGTTCTTAGTTTGTTTGTATGCTTTGTTCTTTGTTTGTGTTGTTTTTTTTTTTTTTTTTTTTTTTTTGGGGGGGGGGGTTTGCACTAGTGGTACCGCAGCCTGCGGCGTAGCTGGCCTCGTCCGACTTTCTCGACAACAGCAGCCATTGAAGAATGTATTGAACCCTGAACCCTAAACCCTAAACCCTAAACCCTAAACCCTAAACTGGCCCTAAACCCTAAACCCACGTATTTGACACGCTGCGGTTGAAGCCGCCCTCCGAACTGGCAGGGCTTAGAATCGAGCTGTCTTTAGAGCCTTGAACCCCACGCCCTAAACCCTAAACCCTAAACCCTAAACCCTAAACCCTGAACAGCAAGCCTTCCAAGGCTTCAAGGGTGAATGTGTGGTCCCCTGGAAAAGTGCACAGTCTATACAAGGGCTTCTCAGATGAAGGGCCCACACGAAACACGGCTGCACCTACCGGCCCTAAGAAGCCTATATACCCCTTGGGAATTAGTTTTGTATTTTTGTTTATATAAAACCCAAGAGTAGAATGAGTATCTTCAACAGATTTAGGGTTTAGGGTTTAGGGTTTAGGGTTTAGGGTTTAGGGTTTAGGGTTTAGGGTTTTGGGTTTAAGGTTCTAAGGGGGGAGTCTAGAAGCCCTGTGACCCTTCAAGGCAAATCGCTTCCTGAACTGGCTCCCACGCCGCGCGAGTGCTGTGGCCATGGGCCTCTCGATCTTCTTAGGACAGGGTTTAGGGTTGAGGGTTGAGGGTTGAGGGTTGAGGGTTGAGGGTTTAGGGTTTAGGGTTTCGGGTGGATGCATTTGCGGGCTGGGCAAGGAGTGCTCCGGGCTGACCCAAACCCGAAACCCTGAACCTCACAAAGGCCTACAAGTCTGGATCCCCTTTAAATTCATATAAACTCATCCCTTTCAAAATCATGTGGATCCCTTTTGACATCATATAATCCCCTTAAATTCATATCAACTCATCCCTCCATATTGATATGCACACAGACAGATCCAGTGTTGGTGTCGGGGAGTTGCCTCGCCTGCAGCGTCTAGCTGAAGTTGTTGCAGTGCAATCCCGCGACACTTAAAGCCGGAAGCCTCGAACCTGCAAAATAGCTTCCCAGATTCTGAGAGGCCGGAGCACATCTTGATAAACCTCCGCCCCTTTCAAGCATCCCCAAACACTCCCCATCCGAGCCCAAAAGATGCTGCTGAACAAGAGGGACCGATCTCCCCACGAGTTGATTGCACCCAACACTTAATGCCTCGATCCTAAACCCTAAACCCTAAACCCTAAACCCTAAGCCCTAAGCCCTAAGCCCTAAGCCCTAAGCCCTAAGCCCTAAGCCCTAAGCCCTAAGCCCTAAGCCCTAAGCCCTAAATCCCATACCACAGCCAAGACAACGCCTCCACGGAGCTCTCGCTCGCCTGCCGGGCTTGCCCTGCGGGGAAGGCAGCGCGTTACTTTTGGGGGATGGCTCATCTACTGCTTGCTTAAGAACCCCCACAAGAATAAAAAAAACAAGCCCTACCTATATTACCCTTGTAAGGAATAGTGTTTTTGTTTTTTGGGGGTTCTTAAGCAATTGGTAGTCTTGCAGGGTTTGTTTGAGTGTTCCATCCAAAGGTGTTGTCTGGACAACCCTAAGGCCCTAAGCCCCAGGCCCTAGACCTTAATGCAGGCAGTTGGGGGGTAGAACCCCAAGTTTTCTTGGCAACTCATTCTATTCTTATTGAGGTTTCTGGTGTGGGGTCTTGGGGGGGGCAGCTTGTTCTTGGAAGGTTTGGCCACAGATGATTTTGGTTCTGGAATCTGCTTAGCCGTGGCCCAATCTCGGTCCTCGGGTTCTCCGATCCTCCGGTCCTTTGGTCCTCTACATGTATCGGCTAGGGCTTATAGGGCTTTATGGGGCTCACATGACCACGACAGAGTTTTTGGATCTTGGCTGTGGTATGGGGCTGACTGCAAGGGCATGTGGAGCTTGCAAAGTTTAGGGTTTAGGGTTTAGGGTTTAGGGTTTAGGGCAAAGTTTCGGTTTAGGGTTTAGGGTTTCGGGTTTCAGGGCGACGTGTCAGGGCTTTGAGTGCAGAGCGCCCCACTTGGCTAGAGAGAATGGAGGCGGTTCGCCACTGGCGCTGGCCGCACACCTGTCCGACGCCCACGAAACATCGCTTGAGTTTGGGTTCTGATGGACTTGTGGTTGGGTTCCAAACCTTAAACCCTAAACCCTAAACCCTAAACCCTGATCCCAGAACTCAGAACCCTGAACCCGGAACCCGGAACCCTGAATCCGAAACCCTAAGCTGAGCCCACCGGGATCAAGGAATCGGGCGATGTCAGTTCAAAGCCGTAGACTTGGCAGGGCACTCTTTAGGGTTTAGGGTTTAGGGTTTAGGGTTTAGGGTTTAAGGTTTAGGGTTTAGGGTTTAGGGTTTAGGGTTTAGGGTTTAGGGTACTTCGTCTCCCATGCGCTCACTGAGGTCCTCTTTGAACCTATTGTTCAACCACGCCTCCTGATCCGTCTTGGTAACCCGACCCTGAAACTCCTACAACGTAACCCTTAAACTCTTAAACCCTAAACCCTAGCAGCCCTAAACCCCCCTAAACCCCTAAAGCCTTCAACCCAAAGCCCCCCTCCCCCCGCAAACCCCGAAGCCCTCAACCCTAAACCCCAAAGCCCTAAACCCTAAACCCTAAACCCTAAACCCTAAACCCTCAACCCTAAACCCTAAACCCTAAACCCTAGCCCTAAACCCTAAACCCCAACGCATCAAGGCCTCGGGGCATGGTCCAGAGGTCCAGTGCTGGAGCTCATGAGGGCCACTTGGGCGCCACTTGCCTTGTGGGTGCAGGGTTGAGGGTTTGGGGTTTAAGGTTTAGGGTTGGCGTTTAGGGTTTATGGGTTTGGGGTTTCGGGATTTGGGGTTTTCGGGGGTTTGGGGTTTAGGGCTATTTTGAATTTGAATGATATCTAGGGTAGTGCATACACCCCAAAAACGAAGATTGAAACTTAAGGTGGATGATGCTGTTATTTCACTTGGGCTCCCGTTTTACAAGGTGTGCGCGTCTGGGGGTGGGGTGGGGGGCGGGGGGGTGCCCTTCCGGGATTGTGAAGCTCAAGCTTGTTGAGGGCTCAGGAATACTTAGTACGGTAGGTAACCTCTAACCTTTTTGGGGTATTCTAATCCCTATAGAATCCCAAAAGTTCACCTTTAATTCCCCCAGGTGACTGGACAACTAGGAATCTTAGAGAGTTTATAGGGGGGTCTGGGTCGCCCAGTGGTACCCTTTTGACATTTTCTTTCGTTCTAGGTTCCCTTATAAAGTAACCAACCCTCTAAACCCTAAACCCTAAACCCTAAACCCGATCCCCTAAACCCTAAACCCTAAACCCCAAAAAGTTTTTTGAAGCTGTTTGGGTTTCGGCTGTGCGTGGCCTCAAGAAGCAGGCCGAGACCCGGCAAGCCCTCCACCGCAGCGGCGGGTATGAGGCATCGCGACACCCCTGGCACTAACATTTATGTCACTGTGTATATCTCTATATATACATATTTGTTATCTACTTATTGCTTGTAATACATGCACTTATTTACTTTTATTTATTTGTTTATTTATTTGCATGTAAATATGAGATATGTTTACATATATATATATATATGTGCATATACGCACAGACACGCACACGTATATGCGTAAACACACATCTGTATATGTGCTTAAACTCATGTGTTGGTCTTTGTATGTGCATGAAAATATACGTATACACATGCGACTTCTTACAGAAGATCCCTCGAGCAATTCTCCAACTTGTGCTCGCTTTTGGGTGCTGTCAAGGCTCCGCATAAGAAAATACCTGCTAAACCCAATCTCCGAAACTCTTTGAGGACCTAGGCCTAGCACCGTGCCTACGCAGTGGAACGCAGCAACGAAGACGAATGAGCATCACCCGACTCATGCCCCCCGCGTATCATGGAAGAACCTTCCAACTCGAACCCCCACAAGAGGTACCCTAAACCCTAACCCCTAACCCCTAAACCCTAAACCCTAAACCCTAAACCCTAAACTCTAAACCCCCCTAGACCCCCCTAAACCCCCCTAAACCTAAATCCTAAACTTTTCGTCGGCAGGCAGCCGCCAGGTTTCTTCAACCACAGGACGCCACTGGTCCACGTCAAGAGTTTGTTGCTAGGGTTTGATAGGGTTTAGGGTTTAGGGTTTAGGGTTTAGGGTTTAGGGTGATGGGGTGTCTGGATTCCGTTTTTTTTTTTGTTGAGGGTTGTAAGTTTAGCTCATCACCGAGGTATGAGGTAAGTATCACAGTTTCCTGATTATTGAAATTATGTTTCGTGCCCTAACGACCCAGTTGCAGGGTTTACTGGTTGGGGTTTAGGGTTTTGCGTTCAGGGTTCAGGGTTAAGGGTTTACAGTGCGAGCGTTGGTTAAGAATGTGCAAGGGTCTGGTCAGGGGGGGCTCAGATTCTTAACTAGAGAACGACTTGTTCAGTGTGTATTTTGATGTTCTTCCGGCTTCAGGGGGGCTCAGATTCTTAGCACATTCTTAAGTGGGATTCGAGCCAGCATCCTTACGACTTAAGGAAGACGCTGTAGCCTCTAGCCCAAAGCATTCTTTCACACATAACTCTGCTGTAGGGGCTCAGATTCTTAACTTGGAGGTTTCTGAGGCGACCGCTTGTGTACAGCCTATATAAGCTCAGAATCTAGGGGCTCAGACTCTTAATTTGGAAGTTTTTGATTTTGTGCACAGCTTTCGCAAGCTAAG